TTTTTTGAGAAGTCTACACATTGCTTTCCATAGTGGTTGTACTAGTTATACTCTCACTGACAGTATAAGAAGGTTCTTTCATCCTTATGTTTTTTGTATTCTTCGTGATGGCCATACTAACGGGGGTTAGAGGAAATCTCGACATATTTTTTGATTTGCACTTCATTCATTGATTGATTGATTGAGACAAGGCTTGCTATGTAGTTGAGGCTGACTTGCATTCACTGTGCAGCCCAGGCTGGCTTTGAACTCATGGTAGTCTTCCTGCCTCAGCCTCCTCTGTGCTGAGATTACAGCCAGGTGTCATGGCTTTTATTTATTTAAATTTGCTTTTCTATAAAAGTTAAAAATATTGAACATTCTTTGACGATTTGTACATCTCTTGATAATTCTTTTTTGTCCTATTATTGATTGGGCTAATGTATTTTTGGTTTAAGTTTTATGAGTTCTAGGGTAAGTAGTAGTTAGCAAGGAGTTTTCTCCCATTCTGTAGGTTGTCTCTTCTCTCTGTTGATTTGTTCCTTTCTTGTGCAGAAGCTCTGTAATTTGATGTAATCACAATCAAATTTGGTCATCTGTGATATTATTAAGGGAGTCTTATTTTATGTCTCATTTTATTTTATTGTTGTGCAGTGCCAGAGATGAATCCGGGGCAGTATATGTGCTAGCTACTCTTGCACTGAGCTATATCCCCTCCATCATTATTTTATGCTGTAGATAGAATCAGGCCTGTTACATAAAACTGCAGATGTCATACCTGAAACCTTCAAAATGTTACAGAAGTCATTTTTACCTGTTGTAGATTCCTGTCCACATAATTAAACTGTTGCTCACACTGGGGACATACCTTAGTGATGGAGTGTTTTGAGGCCTTGGGTTTGATCCCCTGTACTGCTAAAAAAATTATAGTCTCAAGTAAGTTTTAAATGAGAGAATTAAAAGTTTCTCTGATGCTTTTTCAAAGAAAAGAAATAGGATGAAATGTGAAAATTCATTTATACATTCTGCTTCATTTAACCATTTTATATCTTTTCATAGTTAAAGTTTGAAATAGATATTGGGAGATTTAAATTTTTTTAAATTTCTGTAATCTATTTCTCTCTCACATCTTAGTAGACTCTTGGATTTGGAAGGTCCCTGGGTGATTCTCACTCTGCCTTCCCTCTAATGCAGGTCCCTCACATCTCAGCATTCTCAGCAGGCAGTTCATCCAGCTTCTGCCAAAATGTTGCTCAAGACAGGTAGCATTCTAATTTTAATCATTGGTACAGGAGTAACTTTGACAGTTCTGAGACTGGTTTTTAGAGATTTAATTTGCTGTGATAGCTATAATCTTGCAATTTTGTGCAAAATGACTTGGAACTTCATTAGGAAATATTTTAAGTATTGGATTTCTGATTTCTGAGTTTGTGACGACTCATTGGAGGAAAATTGAAACTTTGAATTGCATTTAAATGTAGACTTAAATTGCTATAACTATGAGTGATTCCATAGTCTTAAAAAAAGTGAACTTAGCATCCCTACATTAAACTATGGTCTTAAGGTCTTTTTCCTTTGTAAGACAAATTTTATATTAGTAATAAAGTTTTTGTAGTTTTTTTTAATACTATTTCTGATTTTTAAAAAAATAATAAGAGTTCTCCTCCTACCAGATTAAAAAGCTACCATGGTAGTAATGTATTTAGTAAATAGTGTAGATTCAATTAATCTAAGTTCAGTATATCCATATGCTATTTAAATTTTATGAACACATATAACTGTAAAATATTATCATAGGAGAAAAGCATTTTAACAATAATACTGTATGTAGTACTTGTTCTTTTTGTTTGTATATATATTATTTTCCTTTTAATACAATTTATATTTTTTATATTTTATTTTCTATATGATCATCTGTGTCTTTGTACCATCACTGTAGTAATTATTGCATGATAGTCCACTAAACAGAAATACTTTAAATATTTTGAAGCAGTCCTCAATGTTGATCATTTATATCCCTTTCCCCATTTCTTACATAATTTTCATAACATTTCTTAATAAAAAGACTTCCTTTTGAGCTCTTTACCTAGGATAGATTTATTTTTCTAGGAACTGTGTCATGCTATAAACTTCTGTGTGTAATTTTGTCTAGGATTTCTCCAGTGATGATTCTAAGTTAGAATACAATGTAGATGCTGCAAATGGCATTGTCATGGAAGGATATCTCTTCAAACGAGCCAGTAATGCCTTCAAAACATGGAACAGGTAATACAGTTCAAATGCTAGTCCTGCACCTTCTGGATTTGTAGATTCTGACTTTCCCTTTCATTTGGCAATTCTTTTCTCCATAGTTTTCTAAATTCTGTAAATTACTGGGGTCCATTGCTCTTAGAGGCAGATTAAAAGTGAAGACAATTCTTGATTTAAGCAAGGTTTGAAGGAAGCAGTGGAGAGAATTTCTATAATTCTTGGTGTATGGGCACTCTTGGATATGAACTACCTTTCATTTATTACGAAATAGGTTGTGGAATAAATTATATGTTGAACATAATTGATAAATGGGCTTTTTTCTTTAGTTCCTCCCATATCTGATGTTTATGTACATTTCTACCAGTGTTTACTTATGTATTGTTAAGCCAGGTAGCCTGAGAGTTTGGTCTTTGTAATAACTCTAATTAATTAAGAACTTAAGCAAATGGGATGTTTTCTCAAATACGATGTTCTGGACATTATTGCTCCTTTATTAATCTTGATGACTACCAAAATTTTTGTTAAACTGATTTTTACAAACTATAAAATCACAATATGTCTGTTATAATAATGAATGCATAAAGTGTTTTATTGTATTTTTCCCTGTATCAATAAATTGAAATAATTTCAGATCTTAAAGCATCAAAAATTGTGTGGCTCAGGCATATTTTTCTAAACACTAGTGATTAATGTTATTCAAAGATACCTCATTTGGTCAAAAACAAGAAGAAAACAATGTCATAATTTTATAATAATTAGAGAAGTATTAGATTCCTGATTAATAGATTTACTATGTTGTTAATGGTTGAAATGTATATTTTATTACTTGAACAGGATTTGAATTTGTCTAGTGACAGACAGTTGGTTTTGTATTTTTTAAAAAAAGATATTTAAATAGAAATTTCTTGGTAAGCTTAAGTTAGTGTCTATTTTTATAAAATTAAATGGAAACATTCATTACTTTATTGAAATAGGTTCCTAATGCACTTATTTTGATTTCTCTATTGAAGTAATATAGAAAAATAGTACAAATCTTCTGGGATTTTTCTGGTACAGGGGATTGAACTCAGGACCTTGCGCCAGCCAAGCAGGCTCTTGTGCCACTAAGCTATCACCCCGGCTATAAAAATATTAGTATTTCCAAATGTCTGATTTATTGAGCATTTCTCTAGCATTTGAGATTCATGAATATTTAAAAGACACATAGTTTTAGTTTTATTTGAAATTATTTTTCTTTACCCAATGATGAATATAAAATAAAAAGAACAGTCATTATCTTAAGTATTAAGTCTCTTCAGGTTAACTATGTAGGACTTTAAAAATAATAGTAAATAGAGGAGGACCAATTTAAGGGACCTGATTAGAAATACTGTTTCCAGTTATTATAAAGTAAAAGTAAAAAATTAAAATTGTTTTCTAATCTCTAAAAAGTTAAGGTAATAATCTTTTAAGGCTGTTCTGGAAATTTTCTGTAGCTAGAATAGGAAATTCTAAAAAACTTAGTATGATTGGTGAATCTTTATAATAAAGATTACTCAACCAATAAAATTTTATGATGTAATACTAGAATTGAATTTTAACCTTCAGATTTCAAAACAACTTCCTTAAAGCTTACCAAAATGAAAATATAATAAATCCATAGAAACATACCAGTATGTTAAGAAGAAAAGAAATGAACTTCCATGGACTACATCAATGAGAAATGATCTCAGACTTCAAAATGAAGCACAGTAAGTGTTAGTGGAAAATAATACTGCTGTTTAGGGCAGTAGGATAATACTAATTTTGGCTTAAGCATGCACTTTTCCATTTTTTATTATTTGCTTTATGAATTCTATTAATTAAAACAGTATTAAGTATAAATAAAATCAATTTGGATGTAAGTGTTAAGTCCTTAGTTGTAGACTTGCTGTTATCATATACACTAGGTGAAAGAGACTGCCTTTGGAAATTAAGGTTTTTAAAAGAGATGCCTCTTGTCTGTAGTAAGATACAAGTTACTGATGAGAACCATAGCTTGCAGCTTGTATCAGTTATTTTTCCTGTTGCTGGTACCCAACATCTATAACTTAAAGGAGAAGAGGCTTAGTTTGGGTTACAGTTCAGGGCATTCAGTCCATGATCTTCTGGCTTCAAGGTGGAAACTTCATGGTAGAGGGCCATGGTGGAGGACAGTCACTTATCCATGCAGCCTGAAGCCAGGAAGCAAAAGGCCAGGAAGCAGCTATAAGAATATCCTTCGAGGTCATGTTCCCAGTGATCTGCCTCTTCCCACTTGGCCCTGTTTCTCAGCAGCATATTCAGTTATGATCCAAGTGCCCCATGATCCAATTGCCTTATAAAAGCTGCACCTCTGAACACATGGTGCTTTTGGGGAACATTTTAGATCGGAATCATAACATAGTAGAACACTGCAATTTTCAATTAAGAAATGAAGTTTTAAAGGAATGGTCAGAAAAGAGATTTATGTGGTTCACAATTTTTGAGGTTGAAAGTCCAAAGTTGTGTGGCCTCTGGTGAGGGCTGCATGGTGGATGGCATTACAGCAGCAGAAGTATGTGTAGAAGAGCTCATATGGTGAGACGGGATGCAAGAGAGTGGGAAGGGGCCAGACTTCTTTCTTTTTAATAGTCCCCTTGTCTGGGAATGACTGACTGAAGGAGACTAATGTGAATCCCTTCCATGGGCTGCATCTTCAGTGACCTCAGTACCTGGCACTAGGTTCTTAAAGGACAATGCCACACGAAGGACTAAGTCTTCAACCCATGTACCATTGGGACACAGATCCTGTCCAAACCATAGCAGTAAGGAATTATAAAAGTAGGAGGAAAAAGAAAAGTAGTTTATTAAATGTTGTCTTAGTCACAGTACTTTCCTCATTGCTGGGACAAAATACCAAACACTCACAATTTAATGAGAGGATTACTTTGGTTCACAGTCTGTACAGAGTTTTTAGACCATAGCTCCCTGCTCCAAGGTGGAGCGGCCTGGTAGCCTGGCAGGGTATGGCACCATGATGGCAGAAAGCCAAGAGAGAATAAAAGGAGGAGCAGGTGGAGGCAAACATTTCCAGGACATACCACAGGGACCCACATCTTCTCAGACCCACCTCCCAGCAGTGAGTCGGCACTAAATCCCACATACAGTCAGTACCAAAAGCCTGGCCTATGAGTTCATGAAGCTTTGGAGGACACTTTAGGTCTAAACTGTAACAAATATTTAAATTTTTCTTTTGTTTTTTAATATTAATTTTATATTGTCTAAATTTCTTAAATGAGATTTTCCAAAATTCTAATCTAAGGAAGTATTTTCCAATAATTTCCCATTACCCATGTTTGGCTTTGCATATGCCTTACATCTCTAATGAGTTCTCCATCCAGCTTCCTTTATTGTATTCTGCTGATCTGTGAATAAGACTATGTATTTGTGATAATTATGCCTTTTATAACTCCAGGAATCCAATTACTCGTATATGAAGATTTTTTCTGCCCACTGTTTAAGTGTTTTTTCTAGATTGTTTCATTACTTTTAGGGAAAGTGTGGTGATATACTTGCTCTAAGGTAATACTCACACAACATACCTTGCTATCATCTGGAATTATGGCATTATATTTGTAAATACCAACTTTTAAAAAAAGACTTCTTCCTGGAAGATATGTGAATATGACTGAGAATTTCCAAATAGTTTTAAAACTTCACTCAATGCTTCATAAATTAGAATTTTATTTTGAAAGCTGAGATATAATCTGAAATTAACAGAATAGATGTTTTCTATAATATAATTCATATAGTATAAGGAATGAAAAATTTTATATCTCCTATGGATTGATTGGTTTCAGATTTCTAGTTTGTGGTATCTTAAAATTATATACATCTGAATCACCCTCTGTATAGATGGATTTCACAACCATGACACTAACCAACCACAGATCAGAAATACTTAGGAAAAAATTATACTGGACATCTACAGATCTTTTCTCTTGTTTTTGATCCTTAATGTAGTCTAGCAATGAAGTCTAGCATTTACATTGTATTGAGTGTTATAAGTAAGTAGTTTAGAGAGATGGGATATTACAGTGCAGTAGTGTGTGCCTGGAGTACAGCTGCTCTGGAAACTGATGTGGGAGAGTTGCTTGCACTTTGCTCTTTGAGACTAGCCTGGCAAGACACTGTCTCCTTTGAACAACTTTTTAAAAATGGAAAAGCTGGGCATAGTGGCACCTGTCTGTAACCTCAGTACTCTGGGTGACGGAGGCAGGAGATTGTAAATTTGAGCCTAGCCTCGGCAATTTAGGGACTTACTGAGACTCTGTCTGAAAAAGAAGGGGGAGGGGAAGGGGTGTATCTGAGGGCAAAGGCCCTGAGTTCAATCCCCACTACCACAAAAAAGGGGGAAAAAGTATGTATAATTCATAGGTAAATATGTATGTATGTATATATTACATATTCACATATGAGAATATGTACAGGTTATATGCAGGTACTACAGTATCTTTTATATAGCAATAGAGTGCCTACTAATTTTGATACCTACTGGGGTCCTGGGACCAGTCTGCCACAGATAACAAAGGATCACTATATATATTCTCTGAAGACATGTATAATGTCTGCCATAATAATTTTTTATCAAGTAATTTTTTTCAGTGTGTCAGCTTCACTAATGGGCTTAAACGAATGGACTACTACAACTTTATGTTTTGCTTTTCATAATTTAGAAAAAATGGCACAGACAATAAATATTAAGATAATTAGTAATAATTTGGAGAGCTAATAAATGCTGATGTCATTGTTGAATAGAAAATATAGTTAAATGCAGTGCTGGCCCTACCCCTGGAGTGCGCTGAGTTGGCAATTGAGACTGGGTGTGGTGGCGTGCGCCTATAATCCCAACGCTTGGGAGGCTGAAAACAGAATCATTACGAGTCCACTCTACATAGTGAGACCCTGTAGACTCTGTACTAAATACATTTTAAAAAAAGAAAATACAGTTAAAAGCATAAAATATTAGACAATGTTTTTATTTTATTTTATTTTTTGCTCCTTGAATGCCTTCAGGGCACTTTGGCATGGCTGGAGTGTTGTGGGGATCGAACTACAGCAAACTGAGGCTGCCAGCATTGTGGAAGCAGCCACTTAAAGAACTGAGCTAGGGCTGGGCCCCCTAGACAATGTTTTTAAAAACAGTATTCTATATGCTTCTGGTATACAGATAAATATTTGGTTTTTATTGACTTTAAGAAAAATAAGTGTATATATAGTTTAAAGATGGAACCTACTCATCATATGGGGCCTTTATACTCTGCTATCATTTGATGAAGATAGGAAAGGGGGTGGGAGGCTTATTCAGCTATTTTGTCTTTGAAATTCTTAGTGACCCCACTTTCCTTATGAAAAGTTCTAGATATTTGTATCTATATTTACAGTGATTATTTCTTTTTTGAGCAGCTTTATTATGACAAGATACTGTATTTTATAGTCATGACCTTATAGGCAGAAAATAATAATAGAAATATGCCTAGCTATGCTGTTTTCCTATGAGACCTTTTTATAACTCTTGATGCAAGTTTTTGAATATTTCCAAAGTATTAGCATTTCATATTCCTGAGTTGGAATGAGTTCTACAAATGCACATATATAACAATTAAATAAATTGCAGTAGATACTTTTGACTGTTTTGTTAGGTTATAATATAGCTTCCGCTTGTTCTTTTGATTCTTGCTTTATTTTCGTATCATGCTAGTTCTCTGCTTGTTTTGCACATTTGCATTTTTCATTCTTTTACCGCCTTTCCTTTATGTTTTAATCCTGCCCCGTTTTTTCACATGACAGGAAAAAGCCCGATCATATCAGGTACCAAATGGCTTCCTTCCCTTCACCCTCATCTTATTCCAGTTTCCTCTTTGGCACGAGAGAGCTCATATTAACCTGCATTTCTGTTGGATTACTTGCAATGGATAAAAAGTCTCTTTATGTTCTAAATTGGGAACAAGGTATAAGCGTTTTGAGGAATGGAAGTACACCTTCTAATTGCACATCTTGTCAATTTATATTAATCTGTAAAAGAACATTTGATGTGTTTATATTTACTCAAAGAAAATGCAGATTGAGTAATATAACATCTTTAAATCTTTTTAAACAAAGGTAGCAAACTTCGACAATTTGAGGAACAACTACAGTTAGTACCTTTGGTATTAATATTACGTTGAAAGAATACATTGTCAGTTTCTAAGTTTTCTTTGCTTTGACACTTTTTTCACTGTGGGAAGCAAATTGAATTTATAGGAACATTCACGCTTTTATTAAACCTTAATCTCTGAGGCAATTTTACGAATATATACACAAACCCATCATTTTATAGTTTCAGTGTGAAGTTTCTGTAGGTTTTAGGACTTTGACTTGCTCATGTTCCTGATTTCAAGTGCAGTTCTGGAACAAGTGATTAAATATGGGAAAAGACTATATAATACATGTATTTGTGGAGTCATCAGAAATGTATATACATTTCAGAAAAAGAAAAATATGTATAATTATTGGAATACTAATTTTGAGACATTATGAGGTTAATACACGTTACCTCTGGTCTGTACAGTTACAGGAGGTGCTCTGAGTGGTGGCCAGCAGCTTCCAGACATTTATTAGTACAGGAGATGGCTCCTGGGAAACCTTGATTGCCGAGATTGCTGCCAACACAATTTCAATTTTTCTCCAAGGACCAGAAGTGTAGTGTGTTTTCTGTCATATATGACATTGTCTAGATTCCCCATATGAGGCTAATGCCATCTGTAGAAAAAAAAATACTATTTTTCTTTTCCTGAAGTGTGTAGTTTTTCTTGGCAGACTCTTTTACATTTCCTTTCTTGCCCCATTTTGTAATCTGAAAGCATTGATTGCATGTAGAAATTAATTGTATTTAATTTTGTATGAATTTAATATTCTGCTTTAAAATATATTGGATCTCTTCAAGTTGATAAGGATATAAAATGCTGTTTTTATTTTTCTTAGCAAACAAATTTTTCTTTTCAGAAATTGTCTTATGGTTTGGCTTTTCTCAGTTTTTTAATCTGAGTACACTTTTGTATTAGCACAGTGCTGTCTAAGATTTGTCTTTTAGATCTAAGAATTTTTTTCTTCTGGTATTTTGAAGTTTTAGCCCTTAAGGGCTTACAATATTAATTCTTTTTTCTTTATCTTCTGTAAGCTATGATCTGTTTGTCTTATTTTTCTCTTTCTTAGAAATGTCAATTCCTAGGATTATTCTATAATTAAAAATTACATACTGCTGGGCATGGTAATGCACACCCGTAATCCCAGCACTTGGGAGACTGAAGGCAGGAGAATAGTGTGTTTGAGACACACAAATTGAGCTCAAGACCAGACTGAACTTCTTAGTGAATGCCAGTGCCAAAAACACCAAAATAAATAAATTATATGCCATTTTATGTTCCTCATTAAAATTGTGAACAGTGTTAGATGTGTGTAGTTAGCTTTTTTCTTCTAATGTTTAAAGGCAGCATAGGGAAGATAGCATCATAATTCAGATTTTTGTAATTACAAAATATTTTCCACCTATGGTGTATGACTCAACTTTTTTATTAGGAATCAAATTCAGATGAATTTGTATTGTTTTTGCCAAGAGTGTAAAAACCGATAATGTGAAAATATTATCCAGAAGTGGATAAATAGCAGGGGAAATGGGCTTTAGAAATATGTATGATCCATAAAGTTGTCATCAGAGAGATTAGCTTCTGATAAAGACCCTAAGTTTTTTATCTAGTGTTTAATTATTACTTTTCAGGGGACATGATCCTCAGATACAGTAGGTCAAAAGAAATTATTTTTTGAAGACCTCATAAGCATGAAAAATTAGCATGATTATATGGGTGTTTTTCATTTTTCAATAAAACTATAATTTTCATCAAATCATACAGTATTATTGCCATACTGCAAAGTCTGTGAATCCTTATTAGTATGCTTCAGACTCCTTCAAATGGTTTTAAAGAAAACCAAACATAAATCAGAGATTGTATCCATTGCACGTCATCCCACATCGCAGGGCTGCACCATTTTGTTTGTGTGTAGGGAATTTAACATATCTAACAGCTGTCTCTGCAAAGCACAGACCCCCAGAAGTTCTTCCTTTTCTAGGGTGCCTCTGGATGATTTGCATTTAGAGGCGACCCACCTTGTTTTATGTAGATGCTTTAAGTGGCAAGAGAACCTAACAATTTGTCTAATATAAGGCTTACATATGATCTCATTATCTGCCTTTGGAGAAGTAATCAAATTGTTAGGAATAGAAATTCTAAAAATCTAAACGCAAGTTTTAGTACTTTATATTAGCATCAATGAAAAGGTAGAATATCTGCTAATAGATTAATAACTAATATTTATAATGAAATCATTTCACATGAAACTAATTCTAAAATAATGACTCATATTGTTTTACCTTTCATGCTTGATGAGAAGAAGTTTTGCTTCCCTTTATGAATGGCTTTTGGCTGTGATTTTTTTTTCTAAGTCTTTGGATCTTTATTCTTTTACTATATTGGAATTTGTATGTCATACATAACTTAGCCTTCCCTTCTACAGAAGATTGCAAGTAAATTGTTTTTCTAGTGATTTACAGTAATAAGCGGAACCATATAAATAGTTGAATCATTTTGATTATTTTGCTTAGAAGTATTTTATATGAAAGTAGGGCAAGTTACTTGATTATTTTCTGTTTGATAAAATTCAGATTTTTTTTCTGTTTTGCTTATTAAGCACTTGCTAAATTATCTACCAAAAGATTGAAAAAACACCATTTACTTTGATGTTTAAGTGACATAAATGGATATTTTTACTCACAATATAAATTTATTTTAACTTTTTAATAAATAACTATTTTGAGGGAAAGATTGCAGTTATTTGAAGGAACCTAACATATGATAAATTTGTACTTTAAAACAATTATTTGGTGACAGGGTAAACATAACACCTTTTGTAAGGATAATTTTATTAATCTCTGATTTTAAAGTTCTTAATTTTTAGTAGCTACTTCATATTACTGTCAGTTTATATAAAGCAAGACAAGACAATGTATTTCTCAACCTAATTACCATAAGCTGATTTCTGAATGCTTTCTCAAATACTTCATTTTTACCAAAAATAAAATCAACTTATATTTATGAAGACATAATCTGTTTTATCTTTATTTAGACGCTGGTTTTCAATACAGAACAATCAACTGGTTTATCAGAAAAAGTTTAAGGTAGGTGTTGTGTTACATAATTCAGTGAAAACCCAGAGAGTCCCTAGTATTTATTCTTCATCTGTCTTTTAAACACTGACTTCTAGAAGTGCTTATCTGCAAACTTCCTGTCCTCACTGCTCATTGTCTGTGTGGCGTATATTCAAAGACACGGGAGTGGAAGCACCAGCATTGGATCCTTGGAGGCAGAGTGATTTCCAGTGCTAGCTTTTTAATTTCAAGCCTTGAGATGAGGTTTTCTGTGTCCCAGAGTTCTTTCTCAGTGTGCTTCTCTGTCTGTGTGGCAGGAATCATGCAATCATACCTTTGCACATTGAAACTGAAGCAGAGTGTACCTTTTTAGAAATACCATTTTAAGACTTAACAGTAATCATGTAGAGAGGTTAAAAATGATGTTAATTAAAATGTAAGCTCAAAAGTAATTTAAATAGAACCTCCTTAATTTATTAATACTCATATTTGTTTTCCTGAGCTTTATTTTAAGGGTGAAGATTTTATATATTAGTTACTTATAATTTGAGAATCTTAAAAATTGTTAGAAAAAGCAATTTGTAACCGATGATTTGGTTTTCACTTAGTTAACATTTATAAATATAAACGATGTTCGGTAGAATGTAAATTTCAAATAGCCTCTTAACTCTTGAGATGACATAATATGAAATTTTACATTCTAGGTCTTATATTAACAGGTTTGTTTCTTATAATCCTTTAACTTAATAGTTTATGGTTGCTTCTACTCTGATAAACTTGGTTTTGAGTTAACATTTTTATTAAGTAGTAGAACCGTTCTCTCTCTCTCTTTTCTTTTTTTTTTTTGCGGAACCGGGGATGGAACCAGGTTCTTGCGCTTGCCAGGGAAGTGCTTATTCCACTGAGCCATCTCCCCAATCCCTAGAACCAGTCTCTTTAAAGCAGTTTTAAAACTGGGACTATAGCCCAACAGCATAAGTGCCTGCCTGGCAAGCGCAAGATCCAGAGTTTGATCCCTGGTACTTAATAAAAAAAAAGATATATAAACATATTTGAGGGTTTTGTTTTGTTTCAATACAGGGTCTTGCCTATGTCGGCTGGACTTGACTAGATTATGTAGCCCAGGTTAACCTTGAACTCTTGGTAATCTTCCTCCTTCAGTCTCTCGAGTGTAATGGATGTGAATGAAAATGGAAGGAAACTTAAGAGGGAGCTAACATTTATTGAATATGCTAGGTATGGAGCATTGACCAAGCTCTGTAAAAACTACTTCATTAAATAGTTTTGTGAGACTCAGAGTTACCCATATTCATTATATCTAGTTCAGTAACCCCTTGTTGCATCTGCAATAACATAATATAAATCCTTAAAATTAGAGCATTCCATGTAATTTACAGTAAAGTTGGCATCATTTAAAGCTGTGTTGATAAATAGGAATTTTTGCATCCATTTTGCAGGATAACCCCACAGTCGTAGTTGAAGACCTAAGGCTCTGCACAGTGAAGCACTGTGAAGACATAGAGAGACGATTCTGCTTTGAGGTGGTCTCTCCCACAAAGTAAGCATTTCTGAAGAGCTTGAGAATTGCTTTTATATTTCTATAGTTTGTCTTAAAGAACGTCACAAAATAGAGAAATTTGCACTTATGATTGTGTTAAATAAGAAAAAAGATTTTAAAAATAAATTTTAATAATTATGACTATAGATATTATTGGTGTGTTAACTTAAATCCCCATGTGTTATATTCTTAAAATTCTACAAAATTGTTTATGTGCCCATGTGAAAAATCTTTAGCTGTGATGATGTACTAAAATCATGTGTCAGATGAATTGCTTTGAGAACTATCATTTTGTAAGATCTTGGCTCTCCGTAAGGCTGAGACAGGAAGATCACAAATTCAGACTCCACCTGGGCAGCTTGGTGACAAGACCTTGCCTCAAAGTTTAAAAAATTAAAATGGCTAGGGATATAGCTCAATGGGAAGGGCTTGGGGTCAGTCTCCAGTACTTAATCTAAATCAATCAGTAACACTTTGTTCATACGGTAAATTTAAGAGTTTATTTAAATTTTTAATGTGCAAATTAGTTTTTAGGAGATAATTTGTTTCATTGATATCCTGATCTTTTTAAATTGAAATACATTGTTTAAAAGATAGAAGAAATTAAATCGTTTTTCAATAGAAATTACTTTTTGCTAGAAAATTATTAAACATCAAAGTGAGTAAAAAATAATCCTTATGGACTTGCTTTTTTTTCTGGTCTGAGAAAGCAACATGTTATTTTCTTTTAGAAGTTGTATGCTCCAGGCAGATTCTGAAAAGCTTCGGCAGGCATGGATTAAGGCTGTTCAGACCAGTATTGCAACTGCGTATAGAGAGAAGGGTGACGAATCAGAGGTCAGTAGAGGTACCATCAATATCAAGTGATATGTTGCCAAGAGCTTTTACTTTTAGTTGGATTACTATATGGTTGTAACATCTTTGTGATGGGAGATGGCTTTATATAATTGAAATGAGTTTTTAAAATCTCAATTTTTCTTATGTCTTAATTTTACTTATTTTAATCTTAATTTGAATATATATTTTAATATTTGAATATATGTTCCAGATTGCAGTAAGGTTATTCTGATGTTAGTGTTTTTTCCCTTTTTGGAAATATTTTACTATTTGAGTTAATAATAAGAGAAAATAATCACCATGAAATGTTTTTAAAATTAAAATTTAGTAAAAAGCAAAATCAGCTCAGTGTAGTGGTGTGTGCCTGTGATCCCAGCATGTGGGATGCTGAAGCAGGAGGATACTGAGAGTTTGAGGCCAGCCAGTGTCCAAAAGAAAAAAGGAAAAACAAAGCAAAGCAAGACATAAAGCATAATATTGTCTCTTAGTTGAAGTCTCCTTGGAAGAGATAAACTGAGCATGTTTATTTTGCACCATGGACTACCCTAAAGGCTGTGTTGTGAGAGAGCTTTTGGAAATGAAAGTCCTACTGCTGGGTCGTCTGGTGGGGCCGAGGATGGGCTTGTGATAGGGGACTAGCAGAAATGCAGTCAGAGGGGTGGAGCGCCCTCAGTGTTGTATTTCAAAACTCATCAAGGCCAGCTTGATGCTCCCAGTAGATAGGAGTAGAACTCTTCCTTAGCAGAACTGTGGGTGCTCACTTATCCAAGCAGCAAGGCACTGAGGGGAGGAGAATACAGATTTCATCAGCAGCCAAGGAAGGGTACACATGGTAGGAATGTTGACAGAGGACTTCTTGGGAAAGAGAGCCCTCAGAATAGCTGTCACCTGAATCACACTTCTCCAGTCTAGATAGGTCGTGCCTAATCTTGCACTATTGCTAATCTTGGGATTCCTTACATAATCATTTTTAGAGATTCTGCTCATTTGTATGTCCATTATCTTTTTCTTTCTTGACTTAAGAAAAGCTTCCGCTATCTTCCTTAAAGTAAGTACAAACATGTCCAAGAATGTCTTTATTCTGTCCTCACATTTATTTGATAGTTTGGCTTAGTGTATTTTTATGTTCAAAATAATTAATTTTATGAAGTTTAACAGCAATACTCTGTTTTTTTCGTTCCTTCCCCTACCCTTCTTCCCCTCCTCTCTTTGGCTTCTAATTTTCTAGTGTTGCTGGTAGCGCTTTTATTACTGATCTTTTTTGTATGTTTTCTCATTTTTGTTTTCTCTTTATAGCATTTGTGGACTAGTATTACTTCCTAGGAAATCTTCCCAGTTAATCTTCTAAACTTTCTATTGAATATTTCTGTTTGGTTAGCACAGTTTCTAAGTGTTCCTCATTGCTCGCTGTTCGTAAAGCTAAACTTGTTCTTTTGTCATGAATGTGTTATTGAGAGGTATTGTTATCTTTGACTTACAGCAATACATAGACACTTAAAAACTCCCAATGCTTAGGTCTTATTCCAGGACAATTAAATGGCATTGGGACCCAGGCATCACTATTTTTAAAAGTTTCTTAGAAGATTTCCATGGACAATTAAATTTGAGGACCACTGTGGTAGAGATTTTCCTTAGCACGCTAGTAATCTGATGATTATAAGTCAAGACTACACATCTCTTGGAACTTCTAAACACATAGTTGAGCCCTTGTTGATTGTAAGATACACTCAAGTCTGGACTGTTTGTTTCTAACCATCAGAATTAGAATCTTTGGAACCTTTCTGGCTGTCTGATTTTCCAGAGAAATTCACTTGCTCTCCCATATAGGTGTGAGGGACTGGTAGAAAAGTAACTGTTGGGTATTTTAGCATTCAGTATGTGCATGTTAACTCAATCTCCTGCCTTACCTTTCATAGAGACTGCTTTACTGCTCCAGAAAATAAACTTTGAGTCCTGTCATGTTCTTGGGTGTAGAAAGCAGCTCACTAAGAGCGGGAGGTTATGGAGAACCCTGAGATCTGTTTCTTAAGCAGTTATTCCTTCTGCTTTTATTTTCAGTGCTATATTCTTTGGGGTGGCTTTCCCATGTTATGTTGTGTTAGCATACTTAGCTTTTAGCTTCTTTAATTTGATGCAAAAATGTTAGCACATGGAGAAGAATTGTGTTCACACTGGCCCTTCCCCCGGGTACACTGACTCCAGGCATGGTGGTGCATGGCTGTAATCCCAGTGCTGGGGAGCCTGAAAACAGCAGGATCACTGTGAATCCGAGCTGCATGGTGAGACCATATACGAAATACATTAAAAATAAACAGATAAATAGAAATAAAAAAAAAAAAAGAGCAGAATTCGGTTGCCAGGTGTGGTGGCTCACACCTATAATCCCAGCACTTGGGAGGCTGAGACAGGATGACTGTCGAGTCTACAAAATGAGTTTAAGGCCAGCCTGGACTACACAGTGAAAACCTGCCTTAAGAGTAGAGAGGAGGGGCTGGTGAGATGGCTCAGTGGTCTAAAGCACCTACTTAGAACAAGCTTAGCAGAGCACAGGGACCGCGGTTCCATCCCCCAGCGCCACATGCCAGCCCGCCCCGCCCCCTGGTGGGCTGAGCTGGCCACACACACACACACACACACACACACACACACAAAATTAAAAAAAAAAAGAGTAGAGAGGAATTGGGAATGAATGAGCATGACTTCTGCATTATAATACTGATATCCTTTCATGGTATAACTGCTTGTGAACTAATTTCACATTATCAAGCTTATACTTTACATGATGAAAAGATTTATTTTTTTCTTTATTTAAATGTATTTAGTTGTTGTAGAGTTTCACTATGCAACTCAAACTTGTGGTGATCCTCCTGCTTTTAGTTGCCCCAGTGCTGAAATTATAGGCATGTGCCACTCTGGCCAGCTCAGCCTGCCCCAGAGGCAGTGCTGTCACGGCATGTGGTGCCAGAGATTGAACTGCGGTCTCTGCACTTACCTGGAGCTTGCTAAAGAAGGTTCTTTAGTCTGCTGAGCTATCTTGCCGATCCTAAAAAGATACTTAAAAGAATTTTTTTTTTTTTGGAACTAATCTCAAACTTACATGGAAGTACCTCCAGCTACAGTAAAAATTACTTTCTTTCCCTAAACTACTGGAGGGTGAGTTACAACATGAAGTTCTGTCACCCATTATTACTCCTTCCTACAACCTGTATCCTTCTCCTGTACAATCATGGTGCTGCTGTCAAGTTAAGATGTGAGCCTGATAAATAGCTACCGTTTAATTCCCAAACATCATTCACATTTAACTGTTGCCCCAGTAATGTTCTTTTTTTTTAATGGTATCAGGGATTGAACTCAGGACCTTGTGCTTGCAAGGCAAGTGTTTAAGCTGCTGAGCTATATTCCTGACCCCTCTAGAAATGTTCTTTACAGCAAAAAGCTTTAGTTTAGAAGCATAGGTAACATTTTCTTATAATGTTTCTTTAATCCCCTTCAGTCATGATTTGTTCCTCAGTGTTATCTTGACTTTCTTGAGCCTGATAGTTTTGAAAATTACATACAGTTCTATAGCATGCTCCTCAGTTTGGGATTATTTGCCATTTACTCATTAGTGCATTACAAGGTATGATTAAAAAAATATAGTGAACGTTTCAATTTAAAAACTTCATTAGAATAAAAGAAACACGGCCATGAATCCCCCTCAAACTACTCTCCCTGTCTTTGAACACTTCCCTGCTGTTCTGTACACTTTCTGAAGCAGTTCTGGAAGTGCTTTTTCCTGTGTGTTGCAGTGTTGTGGCTTTCTCCATACCCTGAATTAATTACAACCATTTCCTTCTCATGGTCCTTCTGACTTTGGGGAAGAGCCAGAAGTCACATAGTACCAGATCCAGGGAATAAGGTGGGTGAGGACACACTGTAATGCTTTTATTTGACAGAAATTTTTATAAACATTTTGAAACAGTAAGACAGCCATAAAAAGACACTCAGGAGAGAGGACTTTCAGAACTGCTGTAGCAAAGGGTAAGAACAAAGGATAAACATGTTCAAACAAAGGGGGCACCTGGATGTGGTGTCTTCTGTGTTCTCTGTGTTGGGCCCTGCTGGCCTTTGGGTATGTCTTTACTTCTCATCGTGATGCATTCCTCCTCTTGTGCTTTCTCTTCACTAGCCGTGAAATCAGCCATTTCTAGTTCAATTCTAGTTCCTTTTAATAGAGAATGATATTTAGAAAACAAGATAAGGTTTATAACATGCATTTATTCATTTACATGTTTTATCTGTTCATATTGTAAACCATTAGTGTGCCTATTGTTATCTCCAGTTCTAATTTAATATAGGATTTATTATAGTTTTCTTTCTTATCAATAACTCCTTTTTCTGCAGTAACAAATTTCACCCCATTTGTCTTTATGCTCCTTTATCTGTTTACTTTCTGATTTATCCCTCTGTATGTAACTAGTATCCTGTTTCTGCTGCCACTTGCTCACAACTTTGTTGTCCCGGCATGCACCAGTATTTTTTTCCCACTCAGGCTCTGATCCCTCACACTTGGTACCTGGTCCTCCTTCTCACGTACCCTCCTCTCCCTATTCAAGCTCTTACCTTCCTTGCCGACTGCTTCCCTGTGCAGACATCCTCACCTAGCGTGGGAGCCAGGAACCTGTGCAGGGTTGTGCCTGGGCACAGATACGTTTGTCACGCAGCTCAGTCATCTCTGAAACTTCCTGGCCCCAGCTAATGGCTGTGGAGTTGCGTTTTCAAAATGGACAGGACAAGAATCAAAAGTGTACTTCTAGTGATTCAATACTAACAAACTGGTTTGTTAAGGTTGGAATGCTTTGAAACTAGTGACTTCCTCAACTCAGTCTTTAATCTTTATAGACTTAATCTTTGAGTTTGTGAGTCAGAGTTGTGTATTTGTCATTATTGACATATACAGACACATGTTTTTTAAATATTCTTTATTCTTTATTAGTGGTATAAATCTTTTGTGCACTTAAAAAATTAAATTTTTCTTACCAGTCTCATTTACCCAATAGCCCTTGAAAGTTTAGGCATTTTCTGTTTTATTGTTGATTTTGCTCTATAATTAAAATTATGAAAAAAATGTAACTGATCTGTTGTTAATACCTAGCTATATGTGATTATACTTTAAAAAATTTATTCACTGTAGTAATTAAAATAAGGTGCTTGGGGCTGGAGAGATGGCTCAGTGGTCTAAAGCACCTACTTAGAACAAGCTTAGCAAAAGCATCAGGGACCACGGTTCAATCCCCCAGCAC